AAAATAATTTAATGTGTTTGGTTAAAAAACTTTTCAAATTGAAATTACAAAATAACTAAAAAATATATATATTATTGTTGATGGTTTTTAATTAAAATATTATAGATTTAACAACTATGCATCTTGAAAATAAACAATATTCGATACAAAATATTTTTTATTACTCCATGAAGATATATGTAATTTCATCACGTACAAAATTCATCATACTAGGCCTCGAGATACTATGATTTCTTGAACGTGCAACAACATCATATAAAATATCATCAGGAATAAAATTAAAATTATGATCAAATTCTGTAAATAATATATCACCATACGATTTTCTTCTGATGTAATTATGTAGTATCATCGATGCTACTACAATTTCAACTTGTGTTTTGTATAAATAAGCTAAGTGTATATGTTAAGTATAAAAAGAGGAAAAAAAATACAAGAAATTGAATTTTTTATAAAGCCCAAAAAATTACAGATTTACTATAAAAAAATTCAATTATACCATTTTTATAGTATTTGTATGATAGTAATAATAATTAATTTATACATGATGATGCTAGGGGAGTGTGAAAATTATCGGTGCTTTACATCTTTCACTCAAAATGATTGTTTGCCTTGGTCGAAGGCTCCAATATTTCCACATTATCTTTCACTTAAAATGGATGTCTGCCTTGGTCAAAGAATCGACTACTTCCACGTAGGAAAAGCTCAATTTTCCAACTTTTGTTAAACAGGTGCAGCTTCCCACAATCGTTGATGGCCCCATCAAAATAAAAGCTTTCAAGCTTCAACTCAACTATATATTTACATGAGAAACAAAATAAAATAATTAGGCAGAACACTGTGGTACTTAACCATATCCCTATATATTTGCTTTCAAGCTTTAACTCAGCTCATTCATACGGTCATGGACATTACTCAAAGCATCAAGCGATTTTTTCTTTCAGTTACAGCTTTCTCGATCCTGGTCTGGGGCAGAGTATGACACTTACTACCCTCGTTCTCCTGCCTCCGATCTGCAGTCGAAAGCACAGTGAACGCGGCCATATCCACAAGCCCCTCTTACCATTACCCAAAGATCTCAAAACCCAGAAAACCAACCTCAGCGTTTCATAACATAGCTCAGAAATGATGCAACCACCACTTCAAGCACTGCAACCATCACATACACCACCTCCTCCTCTTTCCATAAACCTTGAATCCCAGTTAACAGAATCGCGGGCACAACCCTCTGGTGCCATTTATAATCAAGAATTATCTCAAAACCAAGAAACACAATCCTCACATTTCACAGCCATCAACGCAGATATATTGTTGCAAACAGAACAATCACAGGCTTCTCAACCTCTTTCCACTATGGAAATAGAGATACAATCACCACCTCCACCACAACTGACACCTTCCCCTGCCATCAATCCACAACAAACCAATATGATCGTTGTTAAACAGTTCACTCTAGAATGGCCTAACATAATCATGGCATTCTGTTTCGAAGCAGCAATTCAAATAGCTCTCCAATACGACAAACCTCAACATTCCGAAGTCCCTGTTTCGTTTTTCTTGCTTTCTTTAGCCATACTACTTACCTTCTGTTCTCTTCTTGTTTCACAGTTAATTAGCAATAGGTTTCCTCAAGTATACAAAGTACTGGAGAAAATTGCAATATCCCTTGCCGCCATTGCATTTTTCACCACCATCGCATCTCCATTAATCCAGAGCCTCAGGTGAAATGCTAGGAGTATTGTTCTACCCATTGTGCGTCTAATGCTGTCTTGTGCTGGAGAAAACTTCATTGGAGGAGAGTAGGGTTGTAAGATAGTGATCTTTCTGCATGTTGAGAGTGATTTTAATGATGTGTGGTTCTTTTCCTTAGGCAAACAATAATGAAATTCAGGTCTCAGAAAGCTGAAGTACTGGAGTTCTAGAAGTCCTTCGCTGGTTGAAGCGGATCTTCCTCCTTTCTCTGCCTCGCGATTGCTTCAGACCTCAGCTGCACATGATGTCTGTCACAAACAGAATTTGTAAGCAGAAAATGTGTTTGATTACTTGAATCAATGAAGAAATACAGGAACTTTCTAGACTACTAAACTGTACTTGACGAAGAGAAGAGTTAATAGTTACAGGTTCATTAATTACCATGCCTAATAGATTTGTTAGGCTGTAATTGGGTTAAATAATACAGCTAAAAAAATATTCACAAGCCTCACTTTATCGTAGCAAACCAGTTCTGCAATTTTAGGAGGAAGAAAAATCACACACACGCTCCCAAGGAATCACTACTTCACTCATTCATGTGTGATTGTTTTTTCAGCACACCTGTCTCTCCTCTTTTTGATTCAACACCCTCTGTAGCTTATATACTAGATAAAACATCACAATGCATGCCTAACCCTTGGCACTCCAATACATATCACAGGATAACTAACTCAACAAACATTAAACTACCTTTATAATTATTGCCCAGCACATTAATACCAACACGATTTTCCGATGAGCTAACTAAATTGATAGCTATTATCCATGAGCTCTAATAACTATTTTGTTTTGCTTTGTTTATGACATGACATCTTTGTGGATGGAGTCATGATATATCATTTCTATGATAAAACTTTGAAGTAGTTTAATGTTATGCATCCTTGGTTTTTAATAGAATCCTAAAACATACATCTTAGCTTATGTGTAGATGAATTTAATCTATTTGAATTCTTTTATTGCACTTTATTTGTTGGTCATTCTAACAAATTATAATTTATTTTTAAGGATTTACATGAAATCTGAATTCATATTTTTATTTATGGTTATATCTAATTCTTACAATTCAAACAGGAATATATATATTTATCTTCAACGATTGATTGATGAGTTAAGTCAATTATAGCTAGTGAAGGTTTTGACATATAATGTCTCAAAAAAATAAAAATTTTAAATAAAAACAATTTTATATAAATTATAAATGATTTTCCTGTATATAAGATAATTTCGAGTTGAAGCTGAAGCATGTATGAAAAATTAGTTTGTTTATATTGTATGTATAATAATAAGGTATTTACCTTAGTTAATGATGGTAAAACTATTTTTTTATTATCTTGTCAAATTGTTATTAATTTAAAAACAACATAAAAAAAAATTAAAAGGTAAAGTTAAAAGGAATATAGCATTAGAAGTATCATGAGATGAAGAAGTTTACGATGAAACCTTTAAGTATGCATGTTGAATATTAGGAGCAAGCTAATTAATCAAAATAATTGAAATTTTTTAATGGAATTGAAGATTAACTTGTCATTTTTGTTGAAAGTTTATTAAAAAAAAAGTGTCTTCACATATGTGCACTATATTTATAGCCCATATTTGTTTTGATTCATTGTTTCTAAAAATAGCTAATGAGTGTTCTTGTCAAATGGACATTATAAAGTAAAAACCAAGGAAAAACCTGGAATCTCTATTTCAAGCTCTTCTAATAAGGAAGAACAGGAGACTTCATCCCTTTAAGAGAATCCAATCTAATCCGATTCAAAGTACAAAGGGAGACAAGAATACATATAAAAAATGTCAAGTAGGAAAAGAAGGAGAACAACGAAGAAAGCAATTAGCCGGCCATCAGGAAAAAAAAAAAAAGCTTTTTTGAAATTTTACTAATTTTTAATTAGTTATTAAACATCATGATCTGTAATAACTAGGATATCATTTTAGCATTGGAACCTCTATGATGAACTTTAAATTTGATGTACTTTAAACTTGATATGAGTAGTTGCATAACAATATCTACTGTATAATAGTTTTTTAATATCTTAGAAGTTGTTAGGATATATCATGTTATATTAAATGTTCTTTTAAATATGTTGTGAATTGTTTATACATGTTAGGAATTATTAGGATATTAAGGCATCAATACTACTAATTATTCTTATAACACTATTTCAGTAGTAATTACAGATGTACTTTAATTTAGTATTTATTTATAATTAAATTATTTGAACTATTTACATGTGAATTCATTATTATTATGTTTTGTTGCAAATTAGAAAAAGGTAGAGATTGTAAATTTTAAACTCATTTTGACCAAAATATCTTATACATCTTAATAAATTTGTATATTGCCTCAAATAACTAAAAAAATGATCTATAAAAATCAATCAAAAAAATTCTTAAACTTAAATCTATTATTTTTGGCAATGAAAAGGTTAAAGAATAACTCCATTTGTCAAATAAAACTCATTAATATCAAAATTAATTTTTTATAACATAAATGAGTGTCAATTAGAACTTTCTATTACCAAAATCCAATAATTTTCTCTCTCATCTCTTAAATAAAAATGGATGTTTTTAACTAAAATTGAAATTTGAAAAATCAAAGAGACCAAATAAAAAAATTGAAAAATATAAGGACCAAATTGGACTTTTATTTTGTAAACTTTGAAGTGACCATTTGCTTTCCCTATCTTTTGCATTTTGATCCTTATAATTTTTCTCTTTGTTAAATTTTGCTCTTGTTTAACAAATCAAAGCTATTTGGCCATAAAGAAAGCTTAACTGCTGGAAAAAACCCTTGAATGATCGAAGTAAAAAAAAAAAAGACAACTACTCTGGAGTCCATTGTGAAACCTGGCGTGAAAAACAATATTTTCCCTGGAACTTAGTGTTTCTTGTAATTATTTCATGAGAAACATGTATTGGTTAAAGTGACAAGGTTGCCCTTATTACGAGCCATACAACCCGATCATCATGACTTGAAATCAATCAGATTTGTACTAGTGATATTTTTTTTGCAGATCAATTAACTGGAAACTAGGCTTAGACCTCAAAAAATTTGCAAGTTGAACCGTAATCTTGTAAACCATTTACTATTTCAACTTTTTATGAATCAGGCGTTCTCCAGATCACCAAGCACAAGTAATGTCTAACCAGAAAGCAAAATAGCCTGGTTTTCTAACAAATTATATCTCCGACAAGCAACCAGCTATGTTAAGATCCAGCAAACGCTAGAATAGTGTGAATTCAAGGACTAAACTGTTTCACCCTCTCCAGTTATATTTGCGCACAATATAGAGAAAGATTAAAATGACACCACATAATTTTTGTTATCATAAGCTAGTGTGAAGAACACACCGAACACGTAAGTTTTGGGATTCTATTCAGAAGTAAAACAGATTGCACACATACAGAGTGGCATCTGCAAAGCACACTCAACAAAAGTGCCCTCGGAAGGAAACATGGTATCACCCCTTTATTTAGTAGCAGCTAATAGTGCCATGAATCCCATTTTACAGTCCATTGATCACTCATCATCATAGCTCTTGCGGCGGTGATGCTTCTCCCCGTCATCATCAGAATTGTCATCTCCCTGCCAATTGCACGTATGATTTAGATAATGACAGATTTCAAGCACAAGAAAAGAATGGTAATTTTCTATGCATGATTTTGTTGATAGAAGCTGTATTTTGCAGAGAGATGGGCACTCAAGTAGTGTATTTTTCTCAAGGTAAGCTAGAAATGAAATTTTATTATTATTCATTTCCCCTAAGACCCCCAATGAAGACAAGCATATAGTAATTTCGCTGCTGAAACTTGAAAGCAAGATCATCAATGCAATAAACAATTATGTAATCATGTCAGCTATCAAAGTTACGGCTATGTTCAGTGCTGCTGCTTCTTGTTTAAACAGGTGATTCTGTAAACATCTACATGTTCTCTAGCAATTCCAGCTACGCCAATCTGGATCATCAATTCCAAACTAGGTCTAAGCCTTGAAGCTATTGATTTTGGAGATATAATACTATTGAAAACACAAAGAATATGTTAACTTGTTTCTAAAATGACTAAATATCCGGCTGAAATTCTTTACATATTCTCATCCGCAGAGAATTACAAACACACAAATATGACGAGTGGGTAACAACCTAACAGGACAATAATTTCTCAATTTTATCTGCTTAGATAGGATTGCCAGAAAAGAGGTGCTTGGACCACAGATATTCATCCACCATAGAACTGAGCAGAGAAGTTTGAGCTCGGTAAAAAGATGATTGGAGCAAAAATTGGAAAACTTCTACCATACCTACAGATTTCTGGAAAGTATAGTTTAGCAGTAACAAACAAACAAATAAAAAGGAAAATACCCATAGTTCATAAATCTTCTCAATTGAGGCAGAGAATGTCCATGACCGAGCACCTCCTTAATTTTTCAGATGAATTATAAACAAAATAAAGTTCTACTGCACCTACTTATAACTGGAACATCTAGTCCAGCTGTAGCAAACAAAAACAGAAGAGAATCTCCTTGGTGCATTTGTAGGATGTTCATACACTACTAAGCACCTCCTACGTTTTCCTGACGAATAACTAAGAAACTATAGGATTCCATAGTCCACAAGAAACCACGTCCATTTTTTATATTACTTTAATTGGTAATCAAGTGTTTTTCACATCAGGCCCCCCATTTGATGGCCGATCTTCTTCTTATCTTTACCATGATTTCAGTAAAAATAATCCAATGAACTAATGCAAAAATGCCTACTTAAGGAAATAAGCATACCTATCTATGGGACAAAAATCAAGTGCATTGGTCTTCCTATTCATTTCTTTCTCGCAATTTTTTTCAGAACCAAATCAAATCTATACCAAGTGATCTTGCAATTATAAGTGGGTTGCATCAGACACAGAAAGCATCATGTCTCTACTCTCAAAATGCAAATGCATGAAACATGTCCTAAATGAGGCATTTTAAGCATCATTTGGATCAGCATAAAAAGTAAGTCAGTTCGCAAGTTTGAGAGAAAAAAGCTTACATATTTCCCGCGTCCATAGCCCTCTTCATCACCATCACGATACTTATTACGATCCTCGTCGTCGTCGTCACTGCGGCGACTCCCATAAGAAGGCCTCTCATAATCTCCTCCATGGCCAACCCTCTTAGGTGAATCATCTCCACTACTTGGCTTCTCATGCTGGCTCCTTCCTCCATACCCTTCTCCCTCTTCCTCGTAACTCTGCTTCCTGCCATACCCAGACACGTGCTCCGACCCATCTTCTTCATATTCGGACCCTGGCCTCCTCATGTTGGCTCCTTCATAGCTAACCCTCTTAGGTGAATCATCTCCACTACTTGGCTTCTCATGTTGGCTCCTTCCTCCATACCCTTCTCCCTCTTCCTCGTAACTCTGCTTCCTGCCATACCCAGACACGTGCTCCGACCCATCTTCTTCATATTCGGACCCTGGCCTCCTCCCATGCCCGGATCCGTACCCCGTCTCAGTCCTCTCTTCTTGTTCGCTGGACTTCTCGTACCCAGACCCGTATTCAGATTCGGGATTCCTCCCATAGCCCGAACTGTACTCACTTGGCTTCTCATATCCAGAACCATATTCAGATTCGGGTCTCCTGCTATACCCAGATCCATATTCCTGACTCTGAGGTCTCTCATAGCCAGACCCGTAATCCGATTCTTGTTTACGCCCATAATCAGACCCATGCTTGCTCGGCTTCTCATAGCCAGATCCATCTTCGTACTCGGGTCTCCTCCCATACCCGGATCCATACTCGCTAGGTTTCTCATAGCCACCAGACCCATATTCCTCACTATGAGGCTTGCCATACCCAGCAGACTCATAGCTAGAGCCATACTCCTCATTAGCCGGCTTCTCATACCCAGCAGACCCATACTCCGATCCGGGATGCAATCCATAAGCCGGTTGAGGCCCACCATAACTGGATCCAGGTCGAGGCTTGGGACGGGAGTAGCTGCTGTACTCTGTTTCAAGAGCTTCATCAGCGTAAGGAGACGGCTCAGAATGTGAGGAGTAATTGGGACGATCGTAGTCGATCTCGTCGGACGGTGAGGAAGAGCTGATTGGATGGCAGGTATCATCGGACGGTGGGATTGGCCGACCATAAGTTAAAGCAATGTCGTAACCGCCACCATATGGGGTGGGATCGTACTCATCGTAATCGTCGACTCGGTCATCCTCTCCTCGCGAGTAGTACGACATTTTTTTTCTTCACTGGTTTTGTGACTGTTGTCTGAAAGAGTGAGAAACGGGGAACGTGAGAAAGACGAGGGTGGAAAAATATCGTTGATATTTGTTTTAATGTAGTCACGAAACGATGTCGGTACAGTGGGAATGCTTGCCAAGTGGTATTTGAGGGTTGTGTGGGCCCACAATTACTTAGTTCTAGGCTACCGACGTTCAAATATTTTAATTTTTTATAAAAAACAAACTGTATATCCAAATTTTTTAAATTAACTAATGTAATTCAAAAACATTGGATGGAAAATTTGTGTGTGTGTGTTAACTAAATAAAATTTTATTAAAAAAATTAAAAATAAAATTTTAAAAATTAAAAAATATATGAATCAAGATATTTAATCTCATACAAAAAGATAATTATCCGGTTATGGTTGTTAAGTTTTGTTTATTACAATATTTTTTATTCAATCAAACAATAATAAAAATATATAAACATATTAAATTAATTAAATAAAATTAAAAAAATATTATGTAAGGCTATATATATTAGAAATATTATCACAAAATAAATTATTTTAAAAAAATATAGTTCATTTATACAAAAGATAATAAAAAAATTATAGATAAATTAAAAAATATCTTTAAAAATAAAACACATGATCAAAAAATAAAAAAATCATTTAAAAGAGACTCTTTGAACAAAATAAAAAAGAAAATAAATATTAATTTAATTATAAATAATTTAAAAAAAAACATTCATTAAAAAAATAAAAATAAAAAATGATTTGGCGTTGCTGGGCATAGCAAGTTAAGCCAACCAGCCCAACCCATTTCCTTAGGGTCTACATGACTGAACCCTTATTTTTTATGCTACACAAGAAAAAAAAAAAAAAAGACATGTCGTTTGATTTTACCAAGATTTCAATCATTGTGATACCTAAAAAATAAAGGCTTACATGTTTATGCAAAAAATTTGTTTTCATCTTCTTTTTTACTTAAAACACCTTAAAAATCATAAACATATTCATAACCTAAAAAAAAAAAATATCTCAAAAATCAAAATCAACTTAAACTCATATTTTTTTTTCATGAACTTTAAAGATAAAAAAACACATAATAAAAATTTTTGTCATAAAAGGAATAATTTAACCCAAATATTGTCTCTTTTGATGGCCTAAAGCGGTGTCGATGATATATTTCTCTTTATATGGCTGCAATTCAATGACTTTTCTCTCTTTTTTCTCAATCAATGGCTAAAAAATAACAAAAAATAAAATTTACACCAAAATTTAATTTGAAAAATATTGAAGTACTAAAATTGTATAATCTATGATATTTTTTAAATTTAAGAACCAAAGTGCATCTTTTTCGAGACTTATGGCACACTATCCATATATGACGTCTTTTTTATTTAGGTCCCTTTTCTTTCAATCACTTCTTATATAAAAAATCAAAATCAATTGGTTTTTTATTATAAATAAATTATTGGAAAAAAATGTTTGTGGAACAAATTAAAAAAATAAAAAATTTTGCACAGTCCGTCCACAATAATATAAGAGAGAATGAATAGGAAGATCGTGCATAATGAAAAATTCATGCATTTTATTTCTATACCTAATTATCCAAAGAAATTTCTTTTATTTTTAAAAATAAAATTCATCTACATAGAAGATACAAAAAACTATAAATTAATCAAGAAAAGTCTTTAAGATTTAAATGCACAACAAAAAAATTATTTGTCATTTAAAAGAGATTTTCTAAACAAAATTAAAGAGAGAATGGGTATTAATCTATATTTAAATTTAAAAAAAAAATAAGAAACAAGAATATAAAAAAGCATTAATTTAAAGAAATAATTAGAAAAAAAAATAATCTCACAAGAAATAAGATTTACTTGGTTGTGTTTGCTAAATTTGTTTATTAGAATAATTTTTTTATTCAATCAAATAATAATTAAAAAAAATACACAAATTTAATTGATTCAATAAAATAAAAGGGAAAAAAACATTAGTTAAGGCTGCATATATTAAAAATACTATCTGAAAAAATATTATTTTATAAAAAATAAAGTTCATCTATACAAAAGATAAAAAAAAATTATAGATAAATCAAAAAATACTTTAAAATTTAAATAAAAAAATATTTGTCATTTAGAAGAGGCTCTTTAGATAAAATGAAAGAAAGAAGGGGTATTAATCTACATACAAATAAAAAAATTAATATATAAAAAATCAATTAAAAAAGAATTTAAAAGAATAATATAGAAAAAAATATTTAATCTAACAATATGAGATATTTATTTAATTATATTTAATAAATTTATTTACTAAAATAATTTTTTTATTCAATCAAATGATAATAGAAATAGAAACATATTAAATTAATTAAAAAAATAAAAGAGAAAAAACAATATTCAAGACTCATATAAGAAATATTATTTAAAAATAATTTTTAAAATATAAACTTCATCTATATAAAAGATAAGAAAAAAAATTGCAAATAAATAAGAAAAGCTCTTTAAAATTTAAATGCATAAAAAAATATCAGTCTTTCAAAAGAAGTTCTCTAAAACAAATGAAAGAGAAAAGAAGTATTAATCTACATATAAAAAACATATTTTGAGAAAAAACAATATAAAAGTTATTAATTAAAAAAAAAAAAAATTAAAGGCCATGCGTTACCAGCCCTGAAAAGTCAGGCCAGCCCACATGGCCTATTTCATTAGGGCTTGTACAATTAAACCTTTATTTTTATTTTGTATTTGGATACATAACATGTCATTCATCATATTATTTTAAAAAAACTAAATTACATGTTGCCTGTTTATCTAAATAATAACTAAAAAATTAGAGCTTAAGGTTTTTTTGCCTAAAAACTCGTTTCTTAACCTGTTTTTGACCTAAAATATCTTATAAACTATAATAAATTTATTTATGATCTAAAAAACCAGAAGTTTGGATCAAGATAATACAAACAAGAAGTTTTGAGGGTCGATTAGGATGGAATTAATGAAATCAGGATCCTAATTGAGGAATTGATAAGTTTGGAGACTTAATTAAGCTTTGAATTAGTTTAATTAATAAAATAAAGGGCTCAATTGAAAATAATATCAAAGTTCAGGGTCAATTCGGGTCTAAATTGCAAGAATTTAAATTCCAGGGATGAAATGGAATAGGCGCTGATACTTCAGGGGAAAATTGAAGAATAGCCCTCAGTCCAAAATGACGCCGTTTTATATTTCCTGTCTCCTCGTCTTCTTCCTCCAGAAGCAGAGGAGAACCACCTGCAAAGACAAAGGTGGAAATGCTGCCCTGGTGAAATGTAGACCGAATGATCTACCAGAAAACCCATGTCAATCCTGTCTCCCTCAACCCACGACAAGCCCTTGGAGTCCGGATCAAAACCCATCACCAACAGTCCAAACATGGCAGGACTTTGGACTGTTGGTTTCCTAATCCCAGCGAAAAGCCAACACAAAAAAGAGACGTGGGCGAGGGAAAAAACCAGGGATGATCCCTATAAAAGGCGAGCCGAATAGCAACACAAAAAAGAATAAAGGACAGAGGAGAGACGAAAGAACAGAGAAAAAAGAACGAAAGACAGAGAGAGCCAGAGAGGAAGAGGGAGAGACAGAACCCAGAGAACCAAAGAGAAAACAGAAGCAGAGGAAAAAAGTAGCATCGGCCAGCCAGCACGCCATCGCCATCCGCTACGTCTCCAACAGCGTCTGAAGCAGTTAAGTCACTCTTCTTTCCCCGCTCGCATTGCAAGCATTGGCCAACCTGGCTTGAGGCAGTGAACTGGCTGAGCTAGTTAAATCCAACATATAAAAAACAAAAAAAGAATAGCTGAGGGTGTGTTTTTATGTCTTACCCTTTTTATTTTGGACTTCTTTATTTTGTCAAACAACTACTTTTTAGATAGCAGAAAAGTTCAAAAAATATCAGGGGGTCTTCTTTGATTTGTTTATGAATCTCTCATACTTTTTTTTTTCTATGTTGTTTTGTTGGCTTTGTTGTATATTTAATTTGTGGATTTTTATTATAAAATATAAATATGGTACGCAATGCATATTTTTTTTCCTTTCCTTGTAAAAATAAAAAAATAGTTTTTTTTTTTTAATCTACGTTTTGCCGATTTATTTAATTACACAAGAATCAGGAATATTGTACCTTTTAAGTTATACAATATTTATTAATGCTAGAATTGAAAATATTTATAAATGAATATTCATTGACATCAGAATTAGAAATATTATAAAAAAACCATAAGAACTGAACAAAAATAAACATTTAATAATTTAAGACAAGAACAACAATACAGTTTATCTCATGTATAACACTTAAGGGATGATAATATCTTCTTATATTATAGAATATTTGTTGACAACTGAGGATTTCCAGTGACTATAATGTTAGATGATGACTCTTTAAACTAGATTTTTATTTTTCCTTTAAGAACAAGATGTTAGATATTTGTTTCTTTCACACTTTTTAAATATATTTTTTAAAGATTGTCGTGATATCCGAGTATAATAGCAATTCTAAAGGATTTTGGCCTACATTTCAATAACATTAAAAACTTATTTTTGACAAGAAAATATATTATTTACTTTTACTATAAGGATAAAATACCTATAAAAGGGTTAATATCCAAAATATTATTAGAGATAATAATTTATTATTATTTACTTTTAATATAAGGATAAAAAAACTTGTATAATGGTTAATATCTAAAATATTATTGAGAGTATTACAACTCATTCACTTTTAATATAAAAATACAAATCTCAATAGGTTTTATCTGAAATATTATTTAAAATGATGTAGTTGCCAATAACAACAAGTTTGTCTTGAAAGAAGTCTCAATGATACTTATGTCTTATAATACAAGAGTCATGAATATCCTAAATACCAAAGAGAAAAGAAAGAGAATAAAAATCATTAAATCTCTTTGGATTTCTAGCTATAATTCATCTGTCGTGTATAAGTTATGAATATACATATTTTCTCTAAATATCTTTCTAACAAGTTCTTGACCTAAGAAATCAGAGTTTGTTCATCATAGATACATTAATAGAAATAAAAATACCATCAAATCATAGTAATCACAAACAAAGAAAAATGATATTGCTTACTTTAAGTAAGATGTATTAGGAGTACTAATATCTTTCTTTTACACAACTAGTCCCTTTCCTAGAATCTCTAAAGATCAATTAGGATTTCTGATAACTATAATACTAAGTGATGACTTCTTATGCAAATAAAAACTCTTAACTTGTTTGAGAAATTTCGTTGCAATGTCGCGCTCTCGCGAGGGTATAACAATCATCCCTAATAGAGTTATCACATAGTAATTAAAGAAAAATAAAAATTCTAAAATAGATATTGGTCTCAGAGATTCAAGCATTGTGTTACTTCTATCTAAGAGAGAATTGATGTCACTCTTATTGTATCTTTTCAAATGACAAGTTACATTTGCTTTGTGTTTTCTCATAAATTTATTCTATATATGCTAGCTATTAATAAACCATTTTCTAGAATTATATTTTTTAAAAGGACATCAAAAACATATTGAGAAATTTGACGTTAATCCCCAAAACTAGAAGAATTTATCAGTTTTGACTTTTTAACAAAAAAAAATTTACGTTAACCCTTAAAAGTAGGAGATTTCATCAATTTAGGATTTTGAATATAGAATCATGATGTTAATCCCTAAAATATGATATTTTATCAATTTTAGACTTGAAAATCTTTCTATATTAATCCATAAAATAGGAGATTTCATCATTTTAGAATTTTTAAATAGGTGCTGAACTGTAAGGAATGTAAAAAAATAGGTCTTAGGACCCATTTTTTAATATGAAAATAATCCTACTATTTATTTGATTATGAAGATTAGCTGATGATTACTATTTAAGCACAAATTCCTTTCCACAAAAAAACTAGCATATTCTCCCATATAATTTACGCATCCAATCATAAATCAATGATCTCATACATATAAAAAATCCTCACATAAAAATTGAAACTTCCGTGTATAAAAAAAAATAAAAACATCCCATGTAAGATCAATAATGTACCTTAAATCATTCAACACAAATAAATCAATGCAACATATGTTATTTAACATAAATAAGTCAACATGATCGAAAGCACAACACAAATCATTTATAATAGATAAATCAATGCATTAAGGTTTGCAATCGACATTTTAAAGCAACTAAGGTGGCTTGAAAGCTGATGTAACATCTAGTGACAGTGGTGGCATGTGTTTGAAAGGTATTTGTTGTTGGTGCATTGCTGCACATGCCAGTAAGGGATGGAGGCGTTTGGACTAGTCCACTGGATGTGCCTCTTCTTCTTCTTCTTCTTTTGGTTTCGATGATGTCGCCCATCGCCACTTGTGGTGGGAGATCGAAGCTCTAAATTTTTAGTCTATTTTGTTTCTTTCTCTGTTTTCTTCTTCTCTCTTCACTCTCAATTGATTCTACAAGGTGGTTGCTCGGTGTGGTGGTGGCTGAAAAAGGTGTTGTGATGGGTGGAAACCAGGATGCCATCATAGTGGCTCCAGCAAAGGAAAGCTAAGCTTTGAGAGAAAAACATCGTTGTGTTCAGGATGATTTTCCATTTGGTTTTTTGATTGGAATTTGGGTTATTTTTGGGTTGATTTTGGATGTGATGTTGACTAAAAATGGAGTATTGGAGCTGGTGTTTTGAGTGGCTGGAGCTTTAGCTGAAGATGGTTAGGGTTTTTTTTTTTTTTTTTTTTTTTTTTTTTTTTTTTGTTGGAGCTATGGTTGGATGCTGAAGAAGGATATTTTTTATCCCCTTTTTTTTGGCACATATTTTCTCTAAATTTTTTACCTCCTAGGTTTCTTTATGACCTTTTTTTAATCTATCTAAAGGTATCTTTTATTTATATTACTTCATTTGGGAATATTTTTATTTTTTATTCTTTATTATAGGAATATTCTATCCTACCTAATAATATCCTTATCTCACTAAACCTTTTTTCTCTTGTCTTTGATTTTTTTTTTGAATTTTTAACTTTTAAAAAACTGTTATCACGAAAATGATAAGCAAAATGGCTGAAAATTAGCTGAATTACATTGAAAATATTTTTTTTTTATTTTGGAAATTTAGGTATTCTTTGAAAATATATTTGAAAACGAGGGAGGGGGTTTGGAAACGGGTTATGAGACCCTTAAACCAAATCAATCCAGGATTTAATTCACTAATTTACCAGTCAAACTGGCTAATCCAGTACAAATATGAAAACAGTGGCCTAGTGGTTTATAAGGCATGCTCCTTTTGTTATCTTTCCAACTCTCAATAATTTTATTTTATTTTTTATTAAATTTCTTTTAATACACTAGGCCGATGGGAAGAATGACTCCTTAAGATCACTCAATGGAGAAGAAGAAGCTGCTTAATAACTGTTTGTTTTTATATTTTCAAAATATTTTAAAAAATTTGAAATTTAATTTTTATTTTATTTTTTTAAATTCATTTTTTTTAGTATTTTTAAATTATTTTGATATATTAATATAAAAAATATTTTAAAAACAATTACAAGACACCCAACCATACATTCTCGATTAACACACAAGCTGATCATCTTTCACGGAAGAACAAAAATTTTAGCACACAACTCGTAGGTGCATTTGTTTAACTAATTAATTATTACTTTTTTGTAGTTCGGCAAATTAATCCTCATTATCTTTTTTTAAAATAACTATATATTTAATCTTTATGTTTTTAAATCCATTTATAACTTATTTTTTTCATCATTTTCGTTGTTTTTTCAATTTATTTTGTCAGATTTATTTGTTTTGAGAAACAGATAAAATGGTAAATCACATTGAAAGAAGATATTTTTTTCCTTCACAGAATACTGCGTATGAATTTGTTGGATTTTTTTTGTTGATTCAATTCTAAAAACTATTGAATTCTAGTAAAGTAATAAATAAATAAATAAATAAAAGGATTATAGTTATTTTTTAGTATATTTTTTATTTTAAAATATATTAAAATATATTTTTTAATTATTTTTATATCAATATATTAAAATAATATAAAAATATATAAAAAATTATTTTAAATAAAAAATTTATTTTTTTTAAAATATAGTTTTAACCACGTTTTCAAATGTTAGAAGGACAGAGAGGAAGGCCGTGGATGCTATAATTAACTCTTGTTTGTGGGAGAACGCAATTAATAAATTATTAAGCTATTTTAATCACTATTTACTTCCAATTAAACAGCATTAACGTTTTATAATAATCACAATTAGTCTAAAGTATAAACAGACAAGACAAAAGCAACGAACATTCCATAGTTAACAAACAAACAATACTAAAAAAAAAAAAAAACCCCAGTAAAGCAAACAAACAAATCCCATGATTTTTTAAATTCGATCCCATTGTCATTTTCATATTTTGGTGGATTAATCAAGGGCGTTGACGGTAGCAGAAGACGGTTGTCAGACTTTATGACGGGGGAGGAAGCAATAGATGCGGTGCCACTCCGCAACACGTGCAGAACTGTGATTCGTGTGCCACCTGGGGTTTACTGGCAACCCGTGAGCGTGCCAAGACCTAGAATCTCATAACTCTTGCGGGTTTGAGACCAGAAGTTACTAGCTTGACTTGGAACAACACTTCTACCAAAACTGTTCATCACCAGGTGCACTGATTTTCTGTGTTTTCTAACTTGTTCATCTGGGTTTTTGACACGTGTTTTTGGAGGTCTTTGATGTTGCGTTTTTGTACTGCAGGCTTCGAGGGTCATTTAGACTGGGACCTTTAGGTGGGGGACTGTGATTGTGGAAGGAGAGGGTTATATTACTGAGACTATCACTTTTGGAAATGGGAAATGCATGAATACAGAGCTGAATCATGACCGTAGACTTCTAGAGCGGACTCCGAATGGATTGTTGGAAATTAAATTGTTGATCCCTGTATGTTTACAGAATTGTACAAAACCTCTTGAGAAAATTTTTAGTCTCCTTCTTACAACATTTTGAAGTGTTCATATTTGACTTTAAAATCTCCTCATTTTGACATCTATTAGAATATCCAGGAACCTATAGTTGAGAATTGTCATATTTCCGATTTAGGCTTATTGTTTCAGAGAGAAAATTAGTGTCATTCTTCTCTACTACTTCTTCCAACAACCACTTGTCAATTTCTTTGTAACTTAGGTTGGATGTAATGAAATGTAATCTAATGCAGTAGTTCAAGGATCCGTGCTTATTTTTCTTCCATAGCATTGCCAATTTCTTTTCTTTTCTTTTTTTCTAGCAAGTATTTCATTATTGTTCTTCATTCTTGTTTCAACTTTGATTATATTGCTTGTGATAGATTACATCATGTAGACTAGAAGTTACCTAGTTGTGCTCTGCAGTTAGCATTAATGGTTTTGGTATGTTCCTAGAGTTATGTTGGGCCTCAAATTAAATCTACAGTTATGTTAACTTTCACTGCTTCTATCTGGTATTTCTATGAGTCCAAGTTTCTGACATGTCCATGTTTATTTAAGAGATTTTCTTTTGTTTCTGACAACCCACACTGGTATATCTATCCAGATATTTGACTTGAAGTCGTAGACCATGTAATTTATTGCGGAAGTACAATTCTACAGTTATTTAACCTGTTATTCTGATTAAAGCTGGTTGTAGATGAGATATGAAATGCAAAAGCAGAGCACTTTGTTTTTTCATCTCTTTTTTCGATCACTCAGAATTTTTTATATTCTGCCTATGAGCTTTGTGTCTCAGAGATCTGGCTTTAATAGCTCTCTTGAGTTGTCATCTTATATGAAATAATAGTCCTTGTATCTTTTGCCAACCGAACTTTCTGGTATAAGTTGCTTATAGCAATGCCATCACCATTGATACATTATTCTTGCAGGGTTGTCTCGCTAGGAGATCATATATTGGTCCTCTTGGCATTCTTTCTTGTGATGGTTTGGTCTGCTCTAATTGATTATCGCATCCATGCAGATATGTGATTATTGGCAATGGAGGGTACTTCATATATGTGCCTTGAACGTCCATGGGGACTCCTTGAAAGAATCATTGTAGCAGACATGTAGGATGGAATAACTTGGGTAAAGCGGAGAATGAGAGCAATGCAACTTGCTTTCAAGGATACATGTATTTTGGTTAAAATCATAATGCATGCTTTAACTTTGGCGAACTGCTATAAATATGAAATTTGACAAATAACGCTAAATAAATCTTCCCCTGAATGAACCATCTCGTGGTAATTAATCTTACCCCCTCACTAAATCTCTGCCCCATAAAAAATAAAAAGAAGAGAGAAAAATAAAGCCCTCATTGAGGTTCATGCCTACTTTAGCTGAAATTACAGCTGCTTTGAGTAATGTGGTTGCCCATCAAAATGAGTGACATGGTCAAGAACACTGATAAAGAAGAAGCAGATTATATTTCTGATGCATTGTTTCTTTGTCCTAGATCTAGAAAGGTGCCTTGGCTATTATGCCAACGAAGGGCCTTGAGGATACCGTATTTTGCATAGAAACTATAAGCTTCAGTAAAAAGCATGAACAAACAGTGGAGAATGAAGCAAGCTCCCAGCAGATAATGGAAGAATGGAAGTGAAAAGGCATGTAATCTTTGTTGCCCGTGGTGCAATACTTTTCTGATCGTCTTAAGATTCATTAACTTGAGTAAAATTCAAGGGACGAACACAAGATCGTCTTAGATTATCGTGTTGGACTGGATATGTGGGCAATTGTGGGAAGCCATGCTATAACCAGCAACTCCCAAGTCTCGAGCCGCAGGGTCCCATGATTCTCGAGAAAAAAAAAAGTAAAAAGGAGAGTTCAAAATTACCGGGTAAGGAGAATTCACAGGTACCCTAAAATCCTCAATAATTCACAACCACCAGAAAAAAAAAAGGGCAAAAACATAGTGGGTCCACATGGCATGATTGAAAGGCATGAGCCTACGTTTCTAATCTCCAAGAACTTGCTTAGTGAAGAACTGGACAAGGTGAAGAAACCCAATAAGGTAGGCTTTCCTTTCCCTTCCAAGGACAAAAACAATCGAAGCTGAAAGGGAATGAATGAAATTAAAGAAACCCAATAAGATAGGCTTTCCTTCCCTTCTGAAGACAAAAACAATAGTAGCTGAAAGGAAATGAGCGAAATTGCAGCAATGTCCTTTGTCCCATGCCAGCACCAGGTGGTTGTTGGACATTTTAGCTCAAGGAAACGGAAAGAGAAGCTGAATAGGCATGAACGGCAATGCCATGCACTGCCTGAACCAAAATCAAAGCAGCCTTTGATCAAGAATCAGATGGCAATGAATTCTGCCACCTACTCTTCAAGAATGACTACTGATATCCCTCTCTTTGAGTCTCCAGGGGTACCCCCAATTTTCCTCTCCTCTTCTCTCTCTTTCTCTATCTATGTGCTGTGACACATGGCTGGTTTCTATTTCCTTGCAGGCTTCCTTCGATGGATATTTGGAGGATAAGCCTAGAGTTTTCAACGCCATATTTCCTGACAAAAGGAGGAGCCAACAACTTAATGAGGTTACTGTTATATCTTTTGTGCAATTTCCTTTTCTTTTCCCTCGTTTTCTTTTGATCTTTTGAAAATTGAGTGCACTGTGTTGATTACTGAAATGATTTAGAATCTGCCTCACCATCGACTCAAATTGTTAAGGGCCATTGATTTACTTGACATATAAAGCCTCGTATGGTTAATAAAAAAAATCTATGCTTTGAGTGACCTTCTGATTGTATGTGTAGTAAAGAATTAAATGACCTCTGTCTTCTTTGCTGCTGCTTTCCATCAATTCTTTTTCATGTCGTTGTCAAATCACCGGCCAGTCAAATGGTATGCAGTGTTTTCTCATTCCATAGAATGATCACTATTTATCTAAGTTGTCCAATTGATTTTGTTATTTGTGGGATCCCAACTTTCTTCTCCATGAGCAGCTTTACATGATTCTCATTTATTGACTGGAAATTACTGCTATTTTCTCTGGTGACGATGGAATCCACTAATCAACAGTTCTCGTTTCACCAAGGAACTTCTACAGGTAATACATGGGTGACTGCCACTCACCATCTTTTACAAGTATAATTGTATTAAAAAGAAAACTGTACAAAATACTAGTGGCATGCTTCAGGAAGCACAAAGGTTCGTTGCCCGAATTTAAATGACCTTTGACAACAAAAAACAAAGCAAAAGCTAAAGAAAACTCAAAAGTATGAAAAACAGATTGTCAAACCAATAACATTGTAACTAGTCAACTGGTTTTTGGAAAATCCAGAATCGGACAACCATTTATTCAAACCTAAAACTAGAAATCCAGAAATCGGTCAACTGTTTACTGAAAAACCCAGAATCGATTGATTGGATAAGCAACAACAGCAGGCCTGAAAAGCAGAACTTGAATAATAGTAGAAGCAAAAGACCTTATGACATTGGAAGACGCCAAACAGACCAGAGATCAAGAGGAATTTGATACCATGGCTCTAACTCCACCAAACAGGACTAGACAAGCTTGAAAATATCCTCACTAAGATCCTAGTAAGGTCAATAAAACTAGTGGAAGACTCGGTTATTACTCTCATACCAGATGGAGTAAATGAAGTAAATCGTGGTTGAGAGGACTAATTGAGTAAGTATATGCATTTACTTTTTCTTCTTCCTGAAGTGCGAGGATGCCCACTGAAGTAAATGTCGCCATGTCTTAGTAGGCTAGTCCAGAAGGGTCATGTTCTTAATAGTACCCCCCAAACTGAAGCAGACAAAAGGCACTGAAAGAACAAATAGTCATGTGTCTCAACATGCAACCCATAAAATATATATACCGAAAAGATGATGATCTGATAAGCATGCGGTCTATCTATGGTGTGTGTACAACCCAAAGAGGCAATCCATAGGATAAATGAGTGTCTCAGGAAGTGTCCTAAAAACCAGAGAAGGTGATGCACAGGGTTTGTGGGCCTCAAGTCTTTAAGAAATTGTTATGCTGATTTGATAGTAAACTTCCCTGATAAATAACCCTTCCAGACACGTTGATCTGGTAAGACAATCCTGGGGTGAGATGAACTGAGTCCCAAATAGGTTGCAACTCCTGATTACTTGGGGGGAAAGCCCACCCTCCTCGATGATGTTTGAAACATTGACATTGGAAAGCCCAGTAAAGGATAGCATCATGAAAGACAATAGGTCAAAGAATCATTGCCTATCTGACAACCAATAGTCTGACCATAGAGAAGTTATAGTTGCATCACCAATGCATGAAATAAACATCTCTTCATACCGGTCTCTGTTGAGAAGAATCTTCCTCTAGGACTAAGAAGATACTGAAGGAGATCTGACATGCCATAATGATCTACCCCTGAGCAATACACTATGCACCCATCCTGACCAAATTGAAGATCTGTCCAAGAGGAGTCTCAAAAAATGCTTGATAATAACTATTTTGTTCCAAGTCTTTACCCTTTTAATTCCCAAACCACCTTCCTTAAGAGGATAACAGGTAGAAGCCCAAGTTATCTTTGCCCCTGAATGGGAGAGCGAACAATCCTTCCAAAAAAAAGCAGCTAAGATACTCTCAATCCTCCTGATGATGGAACAAGGTAGAATGAACATAGATGACTAGTAAACATATCTTTAAACAAGAAAGGATTGGTCAGAATAAGACTTCTTTGATCTCATCATTTATGATATCAGACTCCAAGATAGGTACTATGTCAAGAGGAATCCTGCCAAAAAATACCTGGAGGCATACCCAGGAGAATTGGTTGAGTGAGGAGAGTAGACTCTGGAAGTAACGGATTGCCAACTAACCTAGGCCTTGCTGATCATGAACCTGAATTCCTACCCCATCAGTCTACCCATGAATTCTATTCCTGACCTGTTTGTGGAGTAATGACTTGTGAAAGAACTTGGTGTTTCTGTCTCCCAAGTTTACCCACTGAATCCAGGACCTTTGCTTGTACAAAGCCTCCTCATGCTTGCTCAACTACAGAAACTTCCTAGCAAGTTCCCTTTCAACCTCTATGTACTCACCAACTGAGGAGAACCATCAAGGACATGCATTGTAGCCCAGTTAGCCCTTGCCTCCACCATACAACTAGATATGTGGTTAGTGTGATGACGATGCAAGGACTTCAGTTTAGGCTTCAACAAATCCAATCTCTTAGTAAACTTGCATATAGGGTTGCCATCCACAGGGTTCTGTCAGGTATCCTCAACTAAACCTAAGAAATCATCCCTATTAGTCCATAGATTTAGAAACTTAAATGAAGTTTTGACCTTGAAAGAAAAAGGACCAAGTTGAACTACTATGACACTATGATCAGAGGCATCTCTGGGTAATAACACTGAGCATATAGCTGGTCAAACAGAAAACCAAGTTATGTTCCCGAATATCTAATCAAGCTTCTCAAGGATATTATTCCGACCATGCTGACTATTGTGCCAAGTGAACCTCAACCCTAAATAAGAAACTTTGACTAGTTTTGCTTCCCATACACAATAACCAAAGTCATCTATGTACCCATGCCAAGTAGGATCACCCCCAGATTTATCCCTAGAGCTTATAATTGCATTAAAAATCACCCAATGTTAGTCAAGGTTTAGATTGAAAGGCTAGTGTATGATGTCTCAAGTAAGCCCAAAGATCCTGACAACCAATAGGAACGTTGAGACTATACACATAAGTGACAACAAAATTGCAACCAAGCTAGTGACCTCATATGCAATCCACGGGAGAGAGGAGTGCAAGCAAGAGACATTATATACAACTGGATTCATTCAATAAGAATGACAACTAACAGTTTTGAGAGACATTTGACATAAATTGCCAAGAAGATGGGTTTATAGCAGACTCAACTTCCCCATCTGATTAGAGGCAACTTTAGTCTCCACCAAACCAATTAAACTCAACCCATGTTTGTTAATCCAAGCCTTTACTGTTGTTTGTTTTGATGGACCATTCAGACCACACATGTTCCAATATCCTAACATAAACATAAAGGAAATGGGAGGAAAACTAATAAAGATTATTGGTCCTTAGACCCCTTCCTCCCCCTTTTCTTACCTTATTGCTTCAAGTTGACTCAGTTTGGATCATAGTCGTTGGTGGTACTAGTCTCCCTACTACTTGACAATGAGGGTATTTTCTTTTCCTCACACTGAATATTTCCCATTAAGGTGTGTTGATCTTCCTCCACCTTTGCAGTATGTGCTGTATCTGGCTGGTTGACCGGTTCATGGAGGTCCTGTACTGGTTGACCAGTTCCTGGATCATTGAAATCAGTGTCTACTACCTTGTCTGACCTTTTGACCGTTTCCAGTGATTTCTGAACCAGTCGATCGGTTCCTCTAGTATTGTCATCCGAATCTACTGCCTTATTGTGTGCAGCAGCCCTTGTAGAAGCTGATGCATCAGCATCTTGGCAATACAAGTACAGTGGCAGAAGTACTCTTGATGAATTCTAAAAGGGTTTCCGTTTGGAGACCTTAAAAGAGGCTGAAGTACACGTGGAAAAGAAGCTGAAAAGGAGACAGTGCTAGTCTAAACAACAAAGGCTTCACGCAATTAAGCCGTTTTAGCTACAAATGCAAAGTTTCTACCAGCTAGAAATGAAAGACAGGAAAGCACAGACACCATTGAAATCAGAGGACAAAATAGTGTAGTTAGTAGCTACTAGCTGCTGGACACACCAAAAAAGTTTATGAAAAAACTCTAAACAAAATCACTGAGGCTCATCAAAAGAAATTGAAGGGCACGAGAGTGCGACTGGCGTTTGTGCACCTGGACCCAATGGAGGACCAGCATAGTTGGGACCCCTGTCACTTCATGACAGCTCAGCGAGCTGCTCAATCTCTGCAAGTGAACATTCTCTCTCAACTTGGGCAACTTGAAACCTACCCTCTCAACCTGACCAACCTGAACATCATCATCATGAGTCAATTAGACACTCTCACACAGCACAACTTGATGCTGCAAGATTGCGTACCATGCCACCCATTTTTAACCTTCAAGATTCTGTCATGGACAAATGATAGGCTGCAAACAATTGCAAAGATTGACAGTCTCAAACAAAGAATTCCTCAGTTTCAATCAGTGTACCCACACTGATGCTCTCCAATATCCCTCTGGGGGAGAATGAAGACTGTGAACCATGCTTGAGAGTGTTGGAAGAGCAAGTGGAATGCCACAAGCAAGTTTGAGCTGGCCAAGGAATTTCACTATATTAGAAGAAATCCTCATCAAGATCTGGAACTGGCCACAAGTGGAAAGGTGGAAAAAGGGTCGAAGTTGACCAGCATTAAGTCAGAGAATGCAAGATAAGAGAACTTGTAGTCAAAAGAATAAAAAAAATAGAGCATGTGTTATCGTGGCTTTTTCCAAAATTTTAACTCTCATAAATGTCTCTAAAAGAATACAGCACTGTAGTGCAGTTATGGATGCTAGGCCATGTTAAATACATGGTACAAGGCCGGCAGCTCAGGCAAGGAAAAGCATTATGGTTCCTCTCATGACCTTGGCTGATGAATTCTCTAAATCCAAAGCATGAGAAAGTAACTGAACCAGCTAAAGGTGTCAGGTATTTGGTTGAGACCTTAGACACATGGCCCAGAGGAATGTTGATATTGTTAGTGTAACCCCATTAATTTGAGCGAAAAATCAAGTTCCCTTATGGCACTAGCTAAAGACAATGGGATGCCTTTGTTAATAAGAAAAAAAATTCTGAAATGACAACCTTCGATGCAGCTGGTCTGTTAAAGGAGCTCTCCAATCAGCTTCCAAGAAACAAAGAGCCTCGATGTCAATAAAATAACGAACTGATTGACCATATAATTGGGTCTGAGTCCTGCAAGTCAAACCAAGAAGCTCCAAGAACTTTGCCGCTGAAACTTGGTGTGCAAGAAATGCTGATGAATGAAATCCCAGTAATGACCATCCAATCTGGTGGCATAAACCCAACCTCACGAGTAGCAAGATGGATAGAATTAGTATAGGCAAAGTATTGCTCAGTCACAGCAGCCATGAGTTGAGAGCTGGAGCGGAAAGATGGAACAACTCAATGTCTGAAATGATCAAAGAAGCCAGCAACATCAATCACATGCAGACAATAGGCTGCATAATCCTCATGGTAGTTCCAGTCAGCTGTATGCCAGTTACAGCCACTCACAAGGTTTGTTGCACATGTTTGCTGCCAAAAAAAAAATGTAAGCAGAACAAATGAACTAGAAAACAAATTTTGCTGTTGAAGTTTCCTATATATGAATAGGTCAAGGCAAATGGAAATTGATTAAATAGGAGACAAGGAATAACTATAAGAAATGTATCATTCACTATGATTACACTACATTCTTAATCAGTTAAGCATGTTTTATCTTTCATTCCTTGACATTGTGCCAAACATGCCCTTAGTGTATCATGCATAAATGTGCAGGTGAGCTAGTTAGGTCAATGCAGGCCCAAATCGACATACCTTAAAGCTTGCTTGCAATATAAGTTCTAGTTTCTATAAATTCAATATTTTGACTTTATTGCACTTACCATCATAGAAAGATGCATTTTATAATCCTCTGTGCTCTTGTCTTTCAGGCATAGGGGAGCAGAATCTCTCTGTAATATATGTGTGTTCAATGTTTCCAGGAAGAATGGAGAATTCAGATGCTACCCATAAATTTCTTGTTCCTCACTGTCTGGCCAGTAGTTGAGATGAGACTGAGATGTAAATCAGGAGGGAGAGATTACCCACCGGGAGTTCCTGAAGAGATCACGAAGGTTCTCGAGCTTGATGTTGTAAGCTTTAAAGATATTCAAGCAGTCATCAATGAAAATTTCAGAATTACATTTTTTTATATTTGCCCATGTCACCTCTATATGGAAGTACTCTCTTGCAGATCAGGTGGAAGCTTCAAGGACTTGATAATATTTTTCAACCATCTCAATTTTCTCTTGGTGTAAAAGGAGCGTTATACCCTGATAGACAGGGAGTACGAACAAGGCTCAAAGGTCAACTAGATATGAATATAAGCTTCGTTCTTCCTCCTATGCTTGCTATGGTTCCTGAAAATGTTCGCCAGCCTGTTGCAGAGTCGGTTAGGCCATAATAATCTCCTTAAACTGATGATATTCTTTGACAATGGTTTAACGGAAAACTAACAATATACTAACTGTGCATGCATGACTGTTTGTGTAATTTTGCCCTAATCAACCTGTTTAAATTATATGTTCCCAGAACAGGTATTAAGGGGACTGGTGGAGAACATGAAGCTTAGAGTTAACAGTAGCTTGCTTGCCGATTATAGCAAATTCAAGCAGGAGACAACTAAGAATCGGGTTTGATAGATTCAAACCTTTTGAACTTACGGATCAATATAAAAGTTGCATCTTGCGAGGCTCATTCATTCGAAGGTCAAAGCAAATGGAAAAGAAAGGCCAGATGGAGGACAACTGACTGAGTTGTAGAATTTTTTTTATCCGGATAGCGGATGTTTCTACTTTTGTCAATGTTGGAGTTGAAACCAAGATTGACTGGAGACATGAATATTATGAGGGGAATAACTGTAGTTTGACGTGATATTAGCAACTTTGATTTATTTTGTTTCTTTTTTGATGAATGACATTGTAATTCTGAGAAACATTTAAATTTAACCTTGGCAGGCACTGCATGATACTGTGTTGCTAAAATAATCTGTGGAAATACGACAGGATTACGAACTCCCATTTTTGTTGTCGTGCAGAACTGGATGTTCTGGCCAGAAAATGATAGATATAAAAATGCGTTTCTGTGAAAAATGTATGATTTCTGGAGATGCTGGGGATCGAACCGTCGCACATGCTTTACCATTCAAGCTACATCCCCATTTGTTGAAAGAAACAGTATCAACTATTTTGTTCGGATATTACTTCATTCAAGCAAGATATGAACAAAATACTAATCAAGTACCATAGTGTATAATGAACAAAATTTAATTAGTACAGCATGGTGCTTGATCTTGTCGATGAGACATATTCTCTTCGATAAGTTTGTTTCTGATTGAACAATTGCTCCTGTAAATAGCCTTTGCTGTGCCCTTGGTGAATGGCAGCGTTTTGACTCTGAGAATTCTTTGATTTACCCAACCAGATTTCAATCCTATTTGTGAGATGATGAATCTGAATGCATGAAAGCAATGATTGGATCCTAAAAACAAAAGAAAGAGTTCCACCAGGCAGTGCAACTATTTCCTCAAATATCTGAGACACCATGCTTTTCCAACCAACAACAGCGGCAGTAGTACACAAAGCTTACCCAACAATTCCACTGAGAACATCACCATTCTCATCAGTAGCCTATGGTGGATATCTGACTCTTGTCACCCCCATTCAGCAAACAATGTAAAGGAAAATGCCTTCAAAGAAGCTAGGGGAGCAGCATTGTGAAAGAAACCGCCTTTTCCTTTTCAACTCATCATCAGCCTTGCAAACAACTTTCTTTCAGCTTCAACCAATTCTTCAACCTCCCCTTTGTAATTAAATCCCTCCCACGATGATCAAAGCCAGATTCCAAAAACAATAATGTTGTTATCTGATGAGTCCTTGTACGCAAGAGCAGATTTTAATGAAGAGGGAACTAAAACATTTCAGTCAAGCGGGGACTCCGTGATGCGGCTCATCAATTAATTTCTTCAAATATCTGCTTTGCATTTATGTTTACCAATAATCAGAGCAAGAACATGAACCATGCTTGAAACAATGAAAACGATTCCGATCTCTAATTACAATTTCTCGGTTGTATATCTTAGAAACAATTTTAATAGCAGAATGACAATCTAGACATATGCGTAGATTCTTGAATATATGAAGAGGTGCACCAGGTTTTGTGCTTATAAGCCCAAAACAGACTGCCAGCTTTTCGCTGTGCAAGAACAATGCCTGCTCTTTCTCCTCCATCTCCTCACTGCTACCCTCCCTGCTATCAGAACCTGGAAAAACTTGGTTAGTAGTATTGGGTACATAACCAGCCAATCTCAACCTTTGAATCATATTATTCAATGCATGATAAATTTCCTTTGTCAGTGGGTGTGACTTATCCCCTGCACTGAACTGATGAATATTGCCACCAACATAAATAGAACTCACTCCAGGGACCTTTCTAATACCCTTACACTTAAGGATTTGTCTGAGTGAATTAGCCTTGTCTTGCTTTCCTTCTAAAACATACATGTTCGAAAGCAATACATGATATTCTGTATTATGCCGGTCCATCTGGATCAGCTCTTGCAGAATTCGCTCACCAAGCTGTAACTTTCCATGGGCATTGCAAGAACCCAAAAGGGATCCTAGAACAACCTCATTTGGACACATTGGCATCTTCTTTATCAACATCACAGCTTCTTCTAAATGACCGGCCCGGCCTAGAATATCCACCATACAAGCATAGTGTTCAATCTTAGGTGTTGTTCCGTATTCTGATTCCAGACTACGAAAATAATGGTAGCCTTGATCAACTAAACCTGAGTGGCTGCAAGCACTTAAGACGGCCATAAAAGTTAGATCATCTGGCTTAGCTTCTTCAATCATTTTTGGGAATATATCCAATACAAATTTACCCCTTCCATGCATCGCTAGCCCACCAAGCATTGCATTCCACGCCACCACATTCCTTTTTGGTAGGTACTCGAAGACTTTGGATGCCATATCTATCCGGCCACATTTTGCATACATGTCCACCAAAGCTGTACCCACCATGATATGCATCTCCCTTCCCATTCCCTTCAAAGCATAAACATGAACCCACCTCCCCATCAAGACATCCCCTGATTGTGCACACGCGGATAAAATTGAAGAAAGTGTAACAAAATTCAACCCTAATCTGAACCTCAAAACCATTTCATCCAATAGTAAAAACCCTTCTCTAGAAAACCCATTTCCCACATAACCTGCAATCATTATAGTCCAACCAACCTCATTCCTCTCCGGCATCTGATCAAACACCACTCTCCCACTCTCCACCCCTTCCCATTTCACCACCCCCTCCAACAGTGTACTCCACGAAACCACATTCCGCTCATTCATTTCACAAAAAACTCTTCTCACCTCCTCAACTAACCCACACTTCACATACATGTTCATTACCGCATTACACACCTTAACCCCAAGCCCCAAACCCATCTTCACAAGACACCCTTGCGCTTGTCTTCCCATCCCTAAATCCTCCACACGCGTACACAATACAAACACAGAAATCATGGCAACATCGTCAAGAACAACACCCTCCTTCCTCATTTCTTTGAAGAAACAAAACCCTTCAGAAGGTTTGGTTCCGTGTTGAACAAGGGAGGTTAACAGGGTAGTCCAATCTGTAACGTCTTTATGTGAGTGGGGGATTTGGTAGAATAGGTGGCGTGCAGAGGATGTAACGCCACAGGCAGCATACAAGTGGTGGAGGGCGTTGAGGAGGAAGGTGTTTGGGGATGAGGAAGCAAGTCCGGATGTAAAGATAACGGCGTGGAGTTTTTTGCCAGTGGAAAGAGAGGAGTTGCGGGCGCAAGAGCGGAGGAGAGAGCGGAAGTGCGCAGGGAGGGATTGGAGAGTGGTGAAGTTGATGGTTGAACATTTCATATGAATTGGGTTTTGGAAAAGAATGTGATTTGCTTATTCTGAGGATTTTCTAAGCTACCAAACTAAACAGATCGGTCTCCTTCCTTCCTTCCTTCTTACCTGTGCAGAGTAAGACACTGATAGCCTTTTTGCCGCCTCTTCTTCCTTTGGTTCTTTAGAAAACCGTAGCCGTTAATGAATTGCCTCGTTTTCCTTTAATCTGGGATCAGACTGTTGGGCTCGGCCCAGCATTAGTTCCTTCAGATTTTACCCGCCAAAAAATGAAGATATTCTTACTATTATATATATATATATATATATATATATATATATAGATTATGAGTTTTATTTATTTTTCTTTTATTATTGTTCTCAAATAAAAAAGATAAAGATAAGATAATGAAGATAAAAAAAATTAAGATAAAATTATGTTTTATAATGGTGTAAAAGATAAAGTAATTCTTTATGTATGTTTTTTGGTTACGATGGATAAATAAGATAAAATATAAAAAATTATATTTTATCTTTAATATATATTATTATTAAATTTATATATTTTTAGAAAATAATCAGATAATTTTTTTAATTTAGTTTATATTAAGTTTTAAATTAACAATATTATACTAACTCTAGTTATAAAACCAAGATGGACCTAATAAGTTGACCTAAAACCAAGCAGATTTGAGGTCTTGATTAGTCCGAGTTTAAGTAAAAATAGATTAAGGATTAAAAATCAAAGTCAATGCATGATAAAACACGGGTTTTATATATATATTGACTTGAATCAACCTGAATTATCTCTCCCTCCAATCAGTGATTCAAGCCTTACTCTAGTCAATCCTTAAATTGGATTTAAAACTATAATAATAATAATTTTATTCTTTTATTAACATAGGCTGACTCTCCTGATCTATGATCCGAGTTTTGTTCTAAGTTAACCGTCTAAATTGAGTTTTAAAACTATGACAACAACTATTTTTATTTTTATTTTGACTACAAGCAACCCAGTTGACCCTCCCAACACATGACCTGAGCCGCCTTACCTCAAGTCAACCTTGAATCATGTTTTAAAATTATAATTAATTTTATCATTATATTAACTTGGATTAATAGTCAACCCCTCTTATGACCCGAGACTTACCTTGAATCGACCTCTAAATTAGATTTTAAAATTATAATAACAATTATATTTAGTTTTATACTAACTCAAGTCAACTTGACCCGTAACCTTAGCCTTGACCAATAACCCTAACTTTACCTTAGATCTATTCCCAAGTTGAGTTTTAAAATTATTATAATAACTATTTTTATTATTACAAGTTTTAGTTGGATAATTTTAGAATTATATTAAAAAATAAAATTAGGAATTTTTTCAAACATAATATATTTTTATCTATAAAATTTTAAAAAATAATTTTCAAGTTTTTCAAATTTATAATGAGTTTAGAAAACAAATTTTAGAGGTTTTCTCTTACTTTTTTTTACAGTTTTTTAAAATAAAAAAATATATCAGCAATATTTTTTTTTCCTTTTATATACAATCACTTTCTAGTAATGTATATATATATATATACTTTCAAATTCAATTAGTGTCATCGATTTAATTTTTATTATGAAATTAATATAAGGATTATTTTTAATTAACAATATAACTTTTTCATGATAGATTTTAATTTTAATTTAAATAAAATAAAATAAAATAAATAATCTATAATTAAATTATCAAGAATAAAATATATTAAGATTAACTAATGGTTCGATTTGTTTTATGAAAAATAGTTATAATTTTATTGTTGAAAACATTCGTCTTCGTTTCAATAAAAGAATACATTTTTTTATTGGAAAAAAACTGAAAAAAAGAAGAAAAAAATAATATTCTCAATAATCTGGTCCATAATACTTTCAAATGTAATGGGCAAATCGTCAGCCTCCATTAAAATATTATTAGATTTAGACAACATACGAACAAGATCCGTTGCATTCAAATTTAATGCTCAAATTGCCGTCGGTATCTATTTGCCCACACTAGCGTCTCTCCACACGTGTCCCTGCTCTGGGCTACAGGTGCAGTGCTCCGAGGATACCATTGTTTCCCTATGCAATCAATAATAACATTTCTTTTCTTTTATTTTTAGCAGGTTATTAGAAATTGATTTTTTTATATTAATTTGGTTTCTTTTCACATGTTTGTTCATTGGAACAGTATCCCTTTCTTTTTCTTTTTTTCTTTTTATTTTTCAATATTAAATTTATTATAAATTAAATTTTGTTATTTATTTTATTTTTCTTTATACAAAATTATTATAGTCTAAATAAAATATATTTTTGTATTAAGTTGATGCTTAATTTTACTATTATCTATTTTTTTAATCAAATTATTAAATAATAATAATTAAAAAAACATAATTATTATGAATAAAACTTCATAGTTCATTTTAATTTATTTTTTGTTGAGTTATTATAATCTCAGAAAAAAATCTTAGTGTTGACTTGGTATTTAATTTTACAAGCACTTATTTTTTATCATATATTTAAATAAAAATATTTTTTAAAAAAAAATTATTAAATGCAATAGAGTTTATAATTCATATTACAGATATGATAAATTGATTTAAATTGACAAAAAATAATTTAATTAGTCATCATTTTAATATTTTTTATTAAAAAAATTATTTTTAAAATCAAACAAGATGTTTTTTTTAACCTGTTATTTCGACCGAGTACATAAACATTATTTTTGGTCCTGTGGCGGCGTGGTTCTGGGAATAATCTAGTACCTGCTATTTTTCTTGAAAATTAATGTCCAGCCAGAACTTCAATTTTCACTTGCATGCACTAGGAGGGCTCCTTTGGTAAAAGATCAGCACCTGACTTTGAGTCAGATGTGTATCGTATAAATTCTCAGCAACAAGGCAACGACTTCTAGCCTGTCACCCAGAAAGCAGAATGCAGCATGTATTTGCAGCAGCAATCTTTGGTAACTTCTCCGATTGCTTTGGGATGGATACTAGTTTCGCTTTTTCTTCACGATCAGTGCAAACTTCTCTGTTCCCAGCCAGCTATGTAAGTTCCTGAATTAATCTCATGTCCAAAAAGAATACCATAATGGGAAAGAGATGCCATGAGTTCATCAAAATTCACTCCATATAATTAAAATGGATAAAAAGTACACGACTATATGTAAATCAAACACTCCACTCATATCAGCAATTGATTGCAAAATCACACACAACCGAATTCAAAAGAAGGAAAAACCAAAAATCATGTCATGTTTTGATAAAACACGCGGGTCGGAAAAAAGGGATATCTTGGCTATTTGAGTTTGAAGTACAAGATCAAGATGATGACAACCACAAGGACAGCAATAATGGCACCAATAATCCACTTGTTCTTGTTGATCCTCCTTGACATGGCAGTCAGCACTCGCTTGCTCTTACCGATGTTGTCATCCACTCCATGAAGCTGAAAATATTTGAAGAACCATAAAATAAGCAGAGGGAATATGGCGTTACTAGTTCCAAATCCCAATTCCATTACTTCCCAGACTCAGTGAAACCCTTTACAGTAAAGCACTGATTAAGATCAAAAGGAAACTGTGTTATGCTACCATGGGCTGCCTTGCTAATAATGCATCAGAATTAGAGTCAGTCAAACTATAACTGTCATTCAACACGTTCAAATATCACTGGTAAATAAAGAAAACAACAGGCTAATGAAAGTAAACAATGTTCAGAGACGGCAGTTTGATGCAAATGAAATCAATACCGTGTTATGGGCATGCAAGAGAGACTGTCGCTGTTGATGCAAATCTTGAAGAATAGACACACCAAGTTCCTCGGTTTCAAGCATAGTTCTTCTACTATCCTTGATTCTGTCACCGGACTGATTTAGCCTTTCTGTTGCCATCATCAATCTTGATCTTTGATCTGCTGAGGCCTATTCCAGATGCCCAAACCACAATTGTCAAAATATATATTCAACACTAAAAACAAGAAAGAGACTCAGAATTGCATTGCAGATTTTAAGATAAGTAGCCACAAAACTACACGAAATGTTTGCTCACAACAGGCTATTCATTTATTCATCAAAATATACACCCAGATTGCTTTTGAGTTTTGATGCTGCACCAAAATACAGATTATTATTACTATTATTATTATAGCGTGTAGCTGGAATTAGAATTGGAGCACACACCACAATGACAAACAGCCTATATATATATATATATATATATATATATGTAACAAATAATGAAAATCAAATCATAATCCTACAGAAAATCTACCAAAAAAAATGCGTAAAAGTACAAACCAACCCAGACAGGGAGTGACATACCGTCAAGGAATTAGCCATTCCAGCTTCCAAGAGCTCATCGCGAGCAGCTGCATTGAGATTACCAGAACCAATTCTTTTAACCTCAGTTTTCAGATTGTTCAAATCTGACTTATACTCCCTCAGCTTAGCCAGAAGAACTGCCTTCACATTCGGTTGCAAGTTTCTCGCTTCCATATCCATTTTCCGAATCTGCAAAATTAATTTTTTTAAGAGATAAATAAAGAATAATACATAAATTCCTGGGTGAGGAGAATCAGGATTAGGAGTTTTTTTAAAGGTACCAAAGATTCAGCATCCTCTAATCCAGCTCTTATTTCAGATATCTTTTGCTTCTTTTGCTCTGTGCAAATAAATATATATTCCACGAAATCAAAATCAGAAGAAAATGAAAATAAAAAATTGAGAAAACGTACGTACCTCCATCAAGAGCAAGAGCAGCGGTGCATTTTCTGGATAAATTAGCAGAGAGCTCGCAGTATTGACGCTCGTATCCTTCAAATATTTCGCTCATCTTTTCCATTTTTTCACCTCTCTATCTATCAAAACCCAATTCCTCAGTTCAATCAATCAATCAATCACGATCGGAAATCCAACTACCTGGTCTGATCGGAGAAACTGATCGGATTCTGGTGACCGGAGCTTCTCGAATCGGCGTTGGTGATGGTTACTTCAAACGACAATGCACGTTTGCTCGGGACGGGACACGAATGAGTCTAGTGGGAGGAGAGGCTGATCATATGTCACGTGTCGGTTTGTGCGGTCGTGTAACTCATGTTTGTTGTGTTGTCTTCGGTATGTGCGCCATCTGGTGAGATTAGTTTTCTCTCCTGTAAGAACCGGGGCATATCCGGTTTAAATTTTGTAGAGTTACTCCAATTACGTCGTCGTTATAACGAAAAATTCAGTACCTATACTTGTGAAACTTTTT